GACAACAACTGGAGGTGCTGGGTCCTCTGTGGAGATCAAAGTGGCCTAACTCTTCCCCTCAAAATGTTTAGACTCCATGAAAGAAGCCCCACCCCCCGCCCGCCCCCCATGGAACAGCCTGAGAGATATCAGTGAAGAACTGAAGAGTGGTATGTCCTCATGGACGAGGCACCCAGATCCCCCCCTCAGCTGGTGGTCCTGGTCCAGACTCTGCCTCCAACCTCAAGCCTTATTCCCCACATCTGATGTCCCACAGACATGATCGCAGATGGTCCTTATCTCCACTGCTCCTCCCAAATGACCCAGTATTGTTGGCAACACTGCCAAGCAGAAACTGAGGACAAGTCGCAACCCACACGCTGCTGCCAACAATGTAAAATGGTGTAACCATATCAGAAAACAGTCAGATCCTTGAACACTTAGACAAAGACTTACCAAATGACCTAGCAATTCTATTTCTACACCAACACCCAAAAAACTGAAAACAGATCCATGTAAAAATTTGTGCATCGATGTTCATAGTAGAATTACTAATAATAGGCAAAAAGTACAAAGGGCCAAAATGGCCATCAGCTGGTGATGGCTGTTGTTGTTGTTAGGTGCCATCGAGTTGTTACTGACTCACAGTGACTTGATGTACAACAGAATAAAACACTGCTCAGTTCTGCATCCATCTCACAATCGTCGTGACGCTTCAGCCTGTTGCTGCTGCCAATGTGCCAATCCATCTCGTTGGGGGTCTTCCTCTTTTTCTGTGACTCTCCACTTTACCAAACATGATGTCCTTCTTCAGGGACAGTTTCCTCCTGACAATATGCCCAAAGTATGAGACACGAAGCCTGACCATCCTGGCTTCAAAGGAGCATTTTGACTCTTCTAACACAGATTGGTTTGTTCTTTTGGCAGTCCTTGGCACTTTCAGTATTCTCCTCCAACACCATAATTCACCAATTCTTCTAAGATCTTCCTTATTCACTGTCCAGCTTTCACATGCATATGAGGTTATTGAAAATACCATGGCTTGGGTCAGGCGCACCTTAGTCCTCAAGCTGACATCTTTGCTCTTCAACACTTTAAAATGTTCTTGTGCAGCAGATTTGCCTAATGCAATACGTCGTCTGATCTCTTGACTGCTGCTTCCATGAGTGTTGATAGTTGATCCAAGAAGAATGAAGTCCTTGACAACTTCAATCTTGTCTCTGTTGATAAGAATAGTGTTTATTGGTCCAGTGGTGAGGATTTTTGTTTTCTTGACACTGAGATGTAATCCATACTGAAGGCTATGCTCTTTGATCTCCATCAGTAAATGTTTCAAATCCTCTTCACTTTCAGCAAGCAAAGTTGTATCATCTGCATATCGCAGGTTGTTAATGAGTCTTCCTCCAACCCTGATTCCACATTTTTCTTCATAGAACCCAGCTTCTCAGATTATTTGCTCAGTATACAGGTTGAATAAGTATGGTGAAAGAATACAACCTTGTCACACACCTTTTTTAATTTTAAAACGTTCAGTGTTCTGTTCAGACAACTGCCTCTTGGTCCAGATACAGATTCCTCATGAGTACAATTAAGTGTTTTGGAATACGCATACTTAGCAATGTTGCGCATAGCTTGTCATGATCCACACAATCAAAAGCCTTTGCATAATCAATAAAGCACAGGTAAACATCTTTCTGATGTTCTCTGCTTTCAGCCAAGATCCATCGGTTATCAGCAATGATACCCTCGTTCCACAGCCTCTTCTGAATCCGGCTTGACCCTCTGGTACTTCTCTGTCAATGTATGATTGTAGCTGTTTCTGTATTACCTTTAGTAAAACTTTACTCACATGGGCTATCAAAGAGATTTCCCATTGATTTCTGCATTCCCTTGGGTCACCTCTCTTGAGAATGGACAGAACTACAGGTCTCTTCCAGCCAATTGACCAGGTAGTTGTCTTCATAATTTCTTGACATAAACGTGGGATGCCTCCAGTGCCTCCTCAGTTTGTTGAAAGATTTCCATTTGCATTTCATCAATTTCCAGAGCCTTTTCTATGCCAATGCCTGCAATTCACCTTGGACTTATTCTTTCAGTATCATTGGCCTTGATCATATGCTTCCTCTTGAAGCAGTTGAGCATCAGTCATTTCCTTTTGGTACAGTGACTCTGTGTATCCCTTCCATCTTCTTTTGATGTTTTCTGCATCGTTCAGTATTTTGCCCACAGAATCCTTCAATGCTGCAATTCCAGGCTTGAATTTCTCTTCACTTCCCTAATCTTGAGAAATGCTGATCATGTTCTTTCCTTTGAGTTGTCTGACTCCAGGTCTTTGCATATTTTGTTATAATATTTGCCTTTGCCTTCTTGAGCTGACCTTTGAAATTTTCTTTTCAGCTCTTGGACCTCCTTATTTCTTCCATTTGCTTTATTATGTCTATGCTGAAGAGAAGTTTCAGTGTCGCTTCTGACATCCCTTTTGGTCTTTTCCCTCTTTCTTGTCTTCTTAATGACCTTTTACTTTCTTCATGTATGATGTTCTTGATGTCATCCACAACTCTTCAGGTCTTCTCAGTCTTTAGTGTGTAATGCATCAAATTTGTTCTTCATATGAACTCTAAATTCAGGTGGGATATATTAAAAGTCATACTTTGGCTCTTATGGACTTGTTTTCAGTTTCTTCAGCTTCAGCCTGAATTTGCATATGAGTAATTGATGGTCTGTTCCACAGTCTGCTCCTGGCCTTGTTTTGGCTGATGATATGGTGCTTTTCCACTGTCTCTTTGCACATATATAACCAGTTTGTTTTCTGTGTATTCCCTCTGGTGATGTCAATGTGTATAGTCATCTTTTATGTTGGTTAAAAAGGTATTTGAAATGAACAAGTCATTGGTCTTGCAAAATTCTATCATGCAATCTCCAGCATCGTTTCTATCACCAAGGTCATATTTTCCAACTACTGATCCTTCTATTTCTATCCTTTGTATTCCAATTGTCAGTAATTACCAATACATCTAGATTTCAGGCTAAATCAATTTCAGACTGAAGAAGTTGGTAGAATTCTTCAATTTCATTGTCACTGGCTTTAGTGGTTGGTGCATAAATTCAAAGATTAGTGGTATTAACTGGTCTTCCCTGTACGCCTGGAGCTTTGGTAGCATATTGGGTTACACGTTCGGCTGCTATCCATAAGACCAGCAGTTTGAATCCACCAGTGGCTCTGAGGCAGAAGGATGAGGCTTTCTACACTTGTGAAGATTTACATCATGGGAACCCTGTTTTACTGGATAACTGTGAAGCAGAACTGACTTGACGGTATTCCATCACCACTCTTGCAGGTGTACAGATAGTATTCTATCTCAGACAGCATTTTCCTTCAAGACAGATCTTGAAATGTTCTTTTTGATGATGAACATGCCTCCATGGCTCTTCAATTTGTTGTTCCCAGTGTAATAAATCATGCAATTGTCAGATACTGGACTATTTCTTAAAGTGATATTGTTCAAGATTTTCACAATCTGTTCACCAAGCAGCTCACTTTGTTACTTTCACTAACACAGTCAGGACTCATCACAAACTCTGCCAAAAAGACAAAGGTCACATTATCCTTGCCCCTGTGTGCATGGCAGGCAAGGCTTAACCCTACAGAGACAGGGGACACTCTGAACCTCGACCTGAATACTTCACACAAAGCTCAGTCACCCCCAACCCAGGAGCAAAGAGGAGGCTTTGCCAATGCTTTATCCCACAGTGCCACACCAGGACTCCAGCCTAAGAAAACAACCAGCATTGTCCTCGGTTTTGGATTTCTACTTATTGTATATAATAAAACCGGGCAAGTACCTACCTGACTTTGTGTCCTGGGGATTAACCAAAACCAGTAATTTATGTTGAGTTTCATCACGGTGCATAGTGCAAAAACAAACAGAAGAAGCTTCAAGTTTAACCTAAAAAAAAAATTAGATTAAAAAATAATAAGTAAATAAAGTAAGTGTTTTGTTCTTTCATCAAGATAAACGGCACAAGAAACTACTTAGAATGAATAGCACATTGAACACACGCTGCCACATGGAGTAGTCCACTTGGCAGGCCATGGGCATCATCATCTTGTCATGGAAATCTCAGCTGCACACGTGACAGGGATTTCTGACAAAGGTCCTCTCCTGTTGCCCACCCATGATTCACCTGCCCCCTCCACCCACACTGTTCTGTAGACCAAACACCCTTCTGTTCACGTCAGACCACTCTCATCCTCCTGGGCCTCAGTCCACAGCCCACCTCAGTCACCACCTGCCATTGCTGGGCTCTGTCCACTCTCAGACCCCAGGTCACTGCGCTCAGGCTGCCCTGGCTCAGGTCCCTATGACCAGTCTGGTGAATCCATACCCTCTCTGTGTCTAGTAGGCTTGGGGCACCAACAGAACAACACGAAGCCCCAAGGTCAGAGTCCCTAAAACACTCCAGCTCCAAAGTCCTCTCTGTGGTCATGAAACACTCTGCTATCAGGTCCCAAAGCTAAAGGTCAACATAGTCCACCACCAAGTGGGTTTGAAAACAGAGAGAGGGTAAGAAAATGAGAAAAGAATGTGTCAGCTAAGCCAGGCAGGCTTGTAAGCATATACAGCAAGCCTTCACAGTTCAGGGAACTGTTTCTTCACAAATCCTGAGATCCATAACAAAACGGTGCTCACACAGTGGTTGTTCTGATGCACACTTCATTCACAGATGGTCCTTACCAGGTCAGGAAAATAATATTTACAAAGGATTGCATGACACAAGGAAACACTCCTTAAAGATAACACTGTATTCACAGTCTGGGCTCACTAATGTTTTAAAGATTGTGCACATAGATAAAACTCAAAAGGAAACACATCAAAATGTTTACAGCAATTAGCCATGGCTGCTTTGATTGTCTCCCCTTGTGCTAGAGCTAGCGTCCTGTGGTATTATACAGTAAACCTAGACTGTGGTATGTTAGATGTGACCGGACCATTTTAAGACTGGAAACAGTTCATCATGAAAAGGAAAAGACCTTCAGAAGTCCCAAAGTATTGAATGTCATGTGGCTTATCCTGAAACTACATCTTAATCTTCCCTTTTGTTTACAAACACACACACACACACACACACAAATTCTCTGGATTCAAAAAGAAAAGCTAAACCTGTTAAAAGCAATGAGACGGTGCAGTACCACTCCAAACTGGACGAATTCAAACATCAGGTAAAATGGCAGGAGTCCCAGTGTAGTGCTGTAGGATAAGCACTAGACTGCAAGGTCAGTTTGAACCACAAGGTCTGTTTTCATTTTCTTTAGCTTCAGTTTGAATTTGCATATGAGTAATTGATGGTCTGTTCCACAGTCTGCCCCTGGCCTTGTTTTCACTGATGATATG